TCACGTTGCGAATACCCTGCCTATATAGTCTATTCAGTTTGTTAAATGTATAATTATTACTTTGTAGTACAGTAACTGTTAAGACTATCTGGCAAAGTTAATAAATTTAAAAAAAAAATAGTATTGAGCCAATTACTTAAGCCTAGTCCTTGCTACAATGTAAGCATAATAAGCATAAACACAAGCATAAGAGAGATCAGACATACCTGTATTGATTTCTTATGTAATCTTTCTATGATGCAACATAAAGCATAAGAACATAAAAGATTGCATTCTTTTCCTCTTGCGTTGTAGTGGGGATGACACAAGCTTGCTGAACACCAAAGTGTTCTGCTTGCACAAACAACGACATTTTTTGATAATTTTATTTCAGAATATTAATTTCTTTCTCTAAAGTTTGTCTGTCCCATAATCAATGGAGATGTTTTTGTTTGATTTGATTAGCAATGTTAAACATTGGCAATCTGTTACGAAGCTCAGAATTTCAGCCCATAGATTTAATACCTTGTTGAATCTGGTTGATATAGCAACGTTCCAGTATCAAGGTTTTTTCAGGGATTTTTCAGAGCCGTAACACGGCCCCAAAAACTCAATCTTGAATTGAGTTTTGAAACTCAATCTTCTCACCAAAGTTTTAGTGCAGTAAAAATGAAGTTGTTTGAGTTAAATTCATGACGACTGTGGAAATTAGTTTTCAATTGGAAACCCGACAATTAAGAAAAAAATGGCTGTGTAGTTCCATAGTGTCTGTTAGTGCCCCCTGCTTTAACACATTGCGTCTCAACTACATTTAATGAGGTTACATAGTAACCAAGGTTAATATCATAGGAACCGCGCACAGTCTGGGTACGACAATTGTGCCCTCAGGATATCGGATATAGAGAGTGCCAAGTGATTCGGACCTGAGTCCAAGTAACTCAAATCCGTAGATCAGGGGCGTAGGAAGCAAGGGGGCACGGGGGGCACGTGCCCCCCCAAATTTTTTTAAAGGACTAAAAGTGCCCTTTTTGTGTTGAAAAGTGCCCTTTTTTGTGAGGAAAAGTGCCCCTTTTGTAGAAGCTAATGTCGCTGTAAATACTAAATTAAAACAATAGGTGCCGTTTTTGTGTGGAAATCGACAACATTTCCGGGAAAAATTTTTTAGGTGCCCTTTCCGATAGTAATGTGCCCCTACAAGCCGGTGCCCCCCCAAACTCCAGGTGCTTCCTACGCCCCTGCCGTAGATCATTAGCTGACCACGTCTGCACCTAACCATCCACACGGGTAAGTATGGTGATGACAGATATTA